GTGGTGTGGTGGGGGGGGGGGGGGTGGGTGGGGTGAGTATGTAATGGTGTGTGTATGTGTGTGTGTTGGAAAGGAAGGGTGGGGGAGGTATAGTTGCTGCAGGACAGGGATGATGAATTTGGTGATGATGAATTTGAAGTATGATTTCCAGTATACGAGACAGCTAATGTGTGACCTTTGCTTTGCCCTAATCATGGCTCTCATCACACGGCCATTGCAGGCCAGTCCAAACTCACACACACACATACACACACACACACCGACAGAGTTCTCATCACAGTCTCAGAGGTGCCGAGGGCGTAAATGATTAGCCAGATGAGAGGAGCACGGCCTGTTAGCAGCTAATCACGCTCTCACTCTCCACTATCACAGAAATTAAATCATACTTCTGTTCCTTTCTCACATACTTTTCACTTTCTTTTCTTTCTCTCAAGTTCTCTTTTCCTCATTCTCTCTGCAAACTCTACTTCGCCCTATGTAATGTTCATTTCCATTTTAATCATTATAAATATGTCCATTTACAGCATTTGCCGCTGCTTTTCCTTCCCTTTCTTTTTTCTCAGCATCCCTCCTCCCTATCCTCTTCAAGTCTCTCTCAGTCTCTCTCATTATTGCTTCCCTTATCCGAATAAGTTCTCTCTTCCATCCTCTCCTCTCCCTTTCTTTCTTTCCCCCTGTGAATAAAAGACAAATCTTTATTTTCTCTCCCCTTCTCTCTCATTCATCAACCAGATCCTCTAATCCATCTCTCTGTATTCAGGTCCAGGATCCTGCCTCGTTTGGTGCTGACTCAGTGCTGCTGAAAAGCTCTAAACATTACCTGAATATACGTTACACACTCCTGCCTTACCTCTACACGCTCTTCTACAAAGCCCACACCACAGGGGAGACTGTTGTACGTCCTGTCATGCACGAGTGAGTCATTCAAAATATTGTAAATACACTGTCAAGGTCTCATAATAGCAGTTCAGTCAAACAAACATGCAAAAGGAATTAACAATTTAAAGCAAAAGGTTATATATCAACCCATTAGATTTAGCAGAAAAGTTGTTTGAGGGAGCTGTCATTAAATCAGTGACAAGTATTTTGCTGAGAAAGCTTCCAAAACAAAATTAGCAGGGAGTGCGTTCGACCCTAAAAACAGCACAACCACTGTGAACCATTATCTAGTTTATGCAACAAGCATGTTGTAATTTCCCCTGAGAAACAGCAACGCCCTTCATCTCTAAGCTCAGACAACATCCTGGCTAACCTCAGATAAACATATGGCAGAACATTAACAGTATCCTGATTGAAGGGAAATATTTCAAACTATAATGTACTTTAACTATATGAAGCAGCTGTGTATTGCACTTCCCCCTGAAATGCTGTGTAGTATCTTAGACCATATGCACCAGAAGACAATTTAGTGAGATATTAATTGTTATCTTGATACAAGGAAAATACTCAACTAAAATGGGCCTAGATCATTTAGACAAACAGATGTTGCTCTTATGCAAAGCAGGCCTCCTCCCCTGACTAACCAAATTAGTAATATATTAGATAAAGATTCCGTTATGATGTAAATAACAAAATTTTTAGTATTAATAATGTCTTAATAGCACGCATTACCAGCATTTCCTCTAGGATTTTTTTTCAGCAGCAGGGCTGTTATTCATACATCCACAAGTGCATGGCACTGGACCCATAGTTATACAGTATGTGTCAGTGAAAGAATAGCTTAAAATGACCTTAGAATTGTTATGATTATTCACGTTCACCTTGTCATGTCTGTTTTTAATTTACCAGAAGCTTTTCATACTTAAATGGCTGTGGAGGCCCAGATAGCTGTAGTAATTATTGTTGGTTAATGAAATGCCTCAACTCTGAAAATTATTCATACTATATTTAATGACCATAAATAGAAATTGCATTTGCATCCCTACCTGGCTTTACTGACCTCAGCTCCTCCTCCTCAACCTTTCTTTTTTTAATTAGACAGTTTTGCAGACTAACATGAAAATACTATTTGACATAAATGTATAGTACAAAGATGCACCAGTTCAATCCAAGTTTAGTGCCCCTGATGATCATAATATTAATAAAACCATTTTGATCCATTTGTGCATGTTTGTGTAGGCAAAATATAAATTTGTGCTTGCACCATTTCTCAGAAATGACATTTTTAAGCATTGGCCTTGGCACCCCATTAACCTTCATTAATTCTCAAGTTATGAAATTACACACTGGATAAATAAACAGTAATAACCCAAGAAGTAATGAATCTCAGATGTTTGTTTTGCTTACACAAATATGCACAAACATTGTGCAAATGAATGAGACCACTTTGGAGTCATCTGAGCAGTAAGGGGGAGCTGGCAAAACAAGACTATGGTTAAAATTTTAACATGCAATTTCTCAAAAATAATTTCACCACTTTTTTTTATTTTGTGTGCCAAAACATGCACAAATTAATTGAAATGGTCTTGTTCATATCCTGATCAGATGGGGTACCAGTGTTTTGGTTTGATAATATTCCCCATAGATGTCAGTAATATGATATAGACTGCGAAACAATGTAAGAGGGTTAACTACTAATAATTTAGCACTACAGACATTTGGAAACAGTTTTGTCTAAATTTGTTCTGGTACTTTCTACTGGTCTACCTTGTCATTCTATGTTTAACAATTCATTCCTTAACCCTGGTTGTGTACAGTGATTATTGAATTAATTTAAAGCCCATAAATCATGTGTCTGTGTGTTATGATGGTGTATTTGGTTATTAGCAATAAGGCAAGCATGTGACACCACTGCACACAGTTAGATTTTACATTAACATCATGATATACAATTCGTTTTTGTTCGCCAGAACATAATGAAAAATATGGCTAATCAATTCTCTTCTCTTCTTTGTCACTGTCAGGTTTTTCACAGACAGCAACACCTGGACAGTGGACCGCCAGTTCCTCTGGGGAAAACACCTGCTCATAACACCTGTATTAGATCCGGTCAGCCGACACACAAAGGCATGAAAGAACACACACATACATATTTGAACATGCTTTGGTCCTTCAAATATATGCTGTCTGGATGTACTATATTATATCTAGACACAAGCTACCATATATACCACTATTAGGGTGCATCTCAAGTCCCGTAATTGCATCCATGTTTCCCTCACTTG